TTTTGTATAATAAAATTTCTGAGCCTCCCAAGTGAATGTTTAGCTCTAGTCTCAACTGTTGCTAATGTAAAAGTGGCACATCAAAGTTCAAAGCTGTGTATAATTTGATCCTGTGTATAATTTCCTGGTGAAATCATATCTGAATCCAGGTGAGTAAGAGATATTACTGGGATGACATTGGATTTATTTTTAAAAGGTAAATCATTTTTAAGCAGTATTAACTTAATATGCAAAACTTCCAACGTGTACCCTACTTCTGCTTTGTGGCAGTGACAGTGTCTTTGAGTATATAGAATAAAAATATTTCTGCTTTATTGGCTCTAGTGAAAATCTCATTTCCTGGTTTGTATCTGTTACAAACTTGATTTCACCAAAAGTACTAAATCCCTCTGTAAGCCTAGGTAAAAGCAACCTGAAGCCAGCCATATGATGTTTATTTTGGTTGGCACTACAAGGTGTGGTGTTTGCATCAAGTCGTTTTTGGGTGCTTTGTGGATATTCCTCTTGTTATGGAATCCCCTGACTACACTTTTTAGAGATGGCTTTTTTTGGGGATTGGTGATATGCTTTCTAGTGCTTACAAGAACTGAACCCTTAAGACCATTTAGCCAGTCGGTGCTGTCCTCTAATACGTGGTGCATTGTGGATGTATGAAGTTGGAGGATTTAGGCCATTTAAAATGGATGACCTCAATTTATTGCTTTTTGTATTAAGTACAGGTAACAAAAATAAGTGGTAACTATATTAGCATGTGCTTTATATGTTACAATTAACATTTAAATTCTTCTATGCACCAATTTTTTTTTCAATTGCCTACTTTAAGGTTCTTCATCCTCTAAGGCATAGAGTAACTTTTCATTTCAATTTTTGCTTCAGCGTGTGGCCCCAAGGGGGGCTCCAATTCACTAAAAGCACCTAATCCATGAATGGTATTTGCTTCATGTTTGAACAACAAATGTTTTAACCCACTGTCTTCACTAATATTGTAACTGCTGTCTTACAGATTGACTTGATGCAAAACATCACAAAGGCTCCATATTACACAGTATGCGATTTTTGAGGTATGAGCATTAGAAACTTAGCTCTCATATGGCATGTACATCAGGCTTTAACTTCAATTTGGTCATTTTGGGAAAGTGTATGCATTTCTTTTTTTCTTTCCATAATTTTAGAGTATTTAGGAGGGCTATGGAGGTATTTTTGGATCCTTGCTGGGATCCTTAGCCTTAATAGATCCATTTTTTTCCCCCCCTCACTAAATTGAGACACTAATACTAGCAGATGATGGCCTTTTCAGCCCTTCTGACTAGCCCAGCATTTATGCCTGCCTCTTGGAGTTCAAATCTGCATTTTGTATTTTGTGCCTTTGATTGCCTCATTTTCTATCCTTATTTTCATTCTTGAACAGTTTCCTATTTATTGGACTGGAATGATCTTGGTGCTAACAGCCTAACGTTTTAGTGTTTGAGACCTAGGCAGTCTAGATATTATAAAAATAAAGCTTTCATAGTAAAAACTGAGCCGTTTTGTGCTTTTGGGTCCAGAATACTTGGAGCTCTAATTCTGGTTCTGTTTTTGTATTAGTTGTATGGAAAGAAATTGACAATGAGGAAGTTTTAAGGCAGTTGTGAGGTAGTGGTTCTATCCAGTGGATATTTTGGTTTTTTAAATTTTTATTTATTGATTTTTATTTTTTTCAAATCAAAGCGGCCAGTGGATATTTTGAAAACCATAATTCTTTGCAGGGAAAAAAACACCTCAGTTTGTAGCTCACAGGATTTTAAGACTTGTATTTCTAACAAATTTGGAAGTTGCTTCTGGTTTTATAAGTTTTAACTTGAAATCAAATATGTCTTAGGAATTTGTTGATAGTGCATTGCTTAATTTCTTCAGTGGAGAATTTAAAATGAACTGCTATGTGTCGAGAATAAAAACTTGATTGTGTTCATATGCTCACAAGGTGCTTGTATCTTAATTCTCTGGTAAATTATAAACCTTGAATTTATTTTGTTATGGATTTACCAACTCTTAATGTGCCCTGCAAGCTAAGTATTTCTTAAGAATGCATTATCTTATTGAAGAGTTCCAACAATCTTACATGTTAGATAGGAATTACCCTCTTTTTATGCAAGAGGTAGAGATTAAGTAATTTGCACAAAGACACATGTACCTTTTGAGTGCTTGAGCTGGGATTTGAGCCCAGATCTTTTTTTAACCTGTATTCTCTGTTGCCTTATGTTACTACTGTGTCACCAGAAAATGATACAAATATTTAACTCTTAGGAGTAGGGATAGCATATGTGATATGTAAAGATAATGAAAATAGGAAGTGAAAGAATGTTTACATACTAGCATGTTATCCTTATATTTCAAAACTATTCATTTTATTATTCCAACATTTTCTAATGTTATGTTTCCAGGTTGTATTAGGTGCCCTTTACATAGACAGGTTCAAAACTTGGTCAGAGAGGCTCAGTGAGTATCCTTTTGTTCAATCCCTACTTAGAAAGTAATGATGTTTTACAGTTCATTATAGGTGTCTATGTCATACATGAGGAATGTCTTTCCCTTAGTTTTTTAAGATTTCTTTTGCTTTCATTGATTATCTGTACAGATTTAGAATATATAGAAAATTGCCTCATATTGTTTTCCTGAAATTTCACAGATTTCATTTTTCTAAGTGTTAGAAATGCTTAGCTTTGTCTATGAATAAGTGAAGAAGAGCTTTAGGTATTTTAATATGTTAGATTATGGACTTAACAAATTTCAGATTCTGAGCTTTTATAAATGGGTTCAGACTTTAGCTCCTTAGGAATCAAAATGTCACTGGACCTGTTGAATACATTGTCTGTTAACAGTGGTTTCAGCAGCTGGTTGTGCTGATTGAAGGGCAACCTGGACTACATAGTGAGTTAGGTCAGGGCTAGCCTGAACTACACAGTGAGACCTGTCTCAGTCCCACATAATAAAAATAACTCCCACAGTGATTGCAATAAGTATAGATCAAGGTATTCAACAGATTGAACCTATACAAAATTTCATGTTTAGTATTTTTGGGGATGGGGGCAAATAAGTGATAAATTCCAAATTATGTATATATACAAACAGTGCTGTCTTTTACACATGGTAGGAGGGGCATGAAATATGAGGTTAGAGTTGAGGAATAGGTTAGGTTTTTTTGCCCTTCTGGTGTCATAATTTCTCAAAATGATGTGTTCAGAAGTTTTTAATAAATACAGCAGTGATTTTTTAAAGAAGGTTGTTATTACTGGGAGAAAATCAATATGAGGGCAACTAATGTACTTTTAAAAAAATTATGGGGGCCAGGGAGATGACTCAGCAGAATAAGCGCTTCCCTGGCAAGTGCAAGGGCCTGAGTTCAATCCCTGGTTCCGCAAAAAA